GAGCTGCTGAAGGCCCTGGCACCTGCCAGCAGAGGCCTCCAACCTGCCCTGGGCACCAGCACACACTGCATGGCAGACCCTGGGCTGTGTCCTTCAGCTGATCCTCCCCATCAGCCCCAATAAGCAGGTTGCATTAGCCCATTTGACAGATGTTAAAAAACGAGGCTCAGAGAAACAAGGGCATCTGTCTCAGGTCACACAACTTCCGAAATCAGAGCTGCCTGACCCCAAAGCCTGCGTTCATCCTGCCACACCCCCCTGAGGACAGCACGGGCCAGGGGAGTGCATGCCAGCCAGTCTAGGGGTCCTGAGGTTGCAGGGACTTCCGGAACAGAGCAGCTTGGGGCACCCACCACGTCTCTCGGACAGCTCTGCCACTGCTATCAGCCAGCTCTGGAGGGTCATACTGCTCGAGCTCGGGGATCCCCTTGCAGGGGGGCGCCCCGCCATTGCCCTGGGCCGAGTACATGTAGTCCAGGCCCCCGAGCTTCCACTCGCCGGCGCGGTCCACAAACACAGCGGCCATGCAGACGTTGTTGTGGATGAGGCTGCAGTCGTTGACGAGGAAGCTGAGGGCTTTCTGGGGGCAGAGGCAGCCATTACAGCCCAGAACCCGCAGCCCCCACCCCCGCTCCCACGGCCATGCCCCCGCCTCACCACAATCTGGTGCAGCCCCCAGGACAGCTCCAGCTCCTTGGGGCCACCAGCCTCTGCTCGCGTCCTGAGGTGCACGCCCAGCGGAGTCACGGCCTCTGTCACTACGTGGACGCATTTGTCTGTCTGAGGGGGGACACGGGGGGCGGGAGACGGAAAAGGGGGATCGCATCCCGGCGCTGAGGCAGGAGGGTGGGCACTGGGAGAAAGCGGGGGGCAGAGATGGGGCAGCAAGTACCTCCAGCCCGTCGATGAAGGCCAGAATGTTGGGGTGCCGGAGCGTTTTGAGGCGCTTGAAGGCAGCTTTGGCCGCCTGGGTCTGCTCTTCGGCGCCGGGCTTCACATCGTACACGAAGATGGACACCGGGCTGCCGGTGGCCTGGGGAGGGCACAGGGGCCTCAGGGTGTGGGGCCGGGCCGGGCCGGGCTGACCACTCGGCTCCCCGGCGGCCCCAGAGCGGCCCGACGGGAGCGCCGGCCGGGTCTCTCCCCAGGTCGGTCCTCAGGCACAGAGCCGGGCCCAAGTGACCCCGGTTCCGTCCGCCTGTCAGTCCTCGGTCCTTCCTCCCGCCACGTCGGCACTGCCCGTCCCCCTCCCGCGGCCCGTTGTCCCGGCGGCTCCGCAGCCACGTCAGGCGGGGCGCGACGCGGCGGGCCGGCGGCGCTGACTAGGCGAGACCGAGGTCCGCCGCGGCCTGCGGAGCGCGGGGCCGCGCTCACCTTCTTGCGGCCGCGGTGCAGCGCCCAGGGCCCCGGCGGGCTGCCCTCGGCAGGTTCCGGGCTGAGCTCGAACGGGAAATCCCGGACCGGGTCCCGGACAAAGAACCACATCGTCCCCGCCGCCGCGGGCTCGGGCGCCTCTACTCCGGGTCCTCGGCAGCCCGAGCCGGGGCGGGGCGGGGCCTGGGCGGGCAGGGGGCGGGGCCTGGGCCGGTGGGCGGGACAGAGAGGCTGCAGGGGGCGGGGCACGTGGGCGGAGCAGAGGGACGGGAGGGGGCGGGCAGATGGGCGGGGCGGGGAAGTCGTACAGGGCGGGGCCAGGGGCGAGCCGGGGGGCCTCAAGGGGCGGGGCCAGGGGCGGAGCAGAGGGTGTGGAGCGGGGGCGTGTCGGGGGCTTGACATGTGGGCGGGGCGAGGTCGGAGGGCGCCGGACGCGGCCAGTCACTAGCTGCGAGGCGCTGGAGGTCACCCAGAGTCCCCAATCCTCTGCGTCCTGAGGTCTAAAACGTGGTGGTAATAGAGTCCACTCCCCAGCCTCTTTACAAGGACGGGAGCTTGAGAAGGGACAGGATGGGGAAACCGAGGCGCAGAGGAGAGATGGGGAGACACACGAAGAGGAAGTCGGCAGACCAGGAGGGATGCAGAGATCAGTGATACTCCTCTCCTTTCGTGAAAGAGAAACATTTTCATTTACTAAATTGATAAAAAGTTGTCAAATCCTTTAGTTTTGTGTATGCAAGTAGCGTTCTGCCCTCAACAGCACAAGAGTTGGATGAGGAGGAATTCGGACTGCAGGCGCTCTGGCAGAATTAACTAGCACCGCTGTAGTGAAGGACAAGGTGCAATCCCTGTTTAACCCTTTGCTCTAGGAATTCCACTTCTAGAAATGTGTCCTGCACAAACCCTCATTCAATATGCAAAGATTCAGACAAAGTTGCATAGTTGTTAGAGCCTGGATTACAGAGCCAGACCAGGTATCCCAGCTCAGCTGTTTATGAATTGCTCAACCCTGGCCAAGTTACTTTCTCTCTTTGTACCTCAGTTTTCTCACCTATAAAATGGGTGGAATAATCGTATCTGCACCGTAGATGTGGCTGTCTGAATAATGTCCACTCAAAGATGTCCACCTCTTCATCCCTGGAAGCTGTGGATTATGTTACCTTACAGTCAAAGGGAAAAGAGACTTTGCTGTTCTGATTAAGTTAAGGGTCTAGAGAGGGGGCGATGACGCTGGATTATGCAGGTCATAGGCAGAAGGCTAGGCGACATACATGGGAACAAGAAGGTGGAGTGATGTGAGGAAGGGGTCATGAGCCAAGGAATGCTGGCGGCCTCTAGAAGCTGAAAAAAACAGCCCTCAGAAGGGACACAGCCCTGGTGTCACCGGCATTTGGACTGTGACATCCAGAACTGTTTCAAGCCACTGAATTTGTGGTAATTTGTTACAGTCGCCATAGGAACCAATACAGGAGGCATGTTGTGAGGATGCCTGAGTTAACATGTGTAAGGGCTTCAGTGTCTAGCTCTAGCACATAGTGAGTGATCAATAAATGACAGCCCTCATGTGGATCACAGGACTGTTTGTAATAATGGGAATGTGGAAAAATCCAAATGTCCATCGGCAGTGGAGTGGTGAAAACTCGCTCCACACTCTGGAACCGCAGCAACAGTTAGCAAACGAGGTTGCCCTGCAGGCACTGAGGTGGAAGTGCTCACGATCGCCATGTCACAGCTGCCTTCCCAGTCTCCCTGCATCATCATTTCTGATCCTCCTGACAATATGCGGGTTCTGTTTCAATCTGAGAAACCACTAAGGAACTTGGACATGGAAAGTCTAATATAAAGAATTATTGCCCAACTGGTGTGGCTCAGTGGGTGAGCATCGAGCCATATGAAACAAGAGTTCACTGGTACGATTCCCAGTCAGGGCACAGGCCCGGGTTGTGGGCTGGATGCCCAATAGGTTCAGGAGGCAACTGATTGATGTTTCTATCTCTCTATCCCTCTCCCTTCCTCTCTCTCTCTCAAATCAATAAAAACTTATTTTTTAAAAAAAAAATTTAAGGAACTATTAATGATAACAGGAGACTGGAGTAACAAGGGATTGGCTAGTAAGAAGTAAGAGAGCTCTAACCAGTTTGGCTCAGTGGATAGAGCGTCGGCCTGCAGACTGAAAGGTCCCAGGTTTGATTCCGGTCAAGAGCATGTACCTTGGTTGTGGGCACATCCCCAATGGGAGGTGTGCAGGAGGCAGCTGATTGATGTTTCTCTCTCATCAATGTTTCTAGCTCTCTATCCCTCTCCCTTCCTCTCTGTAAAAAATCAATAAAATATATTTAAAAAAAAAAAAAGAAGAAGTAAGAGAGCTCTAAAGAACACAGGAATATGCCCTAGCCAGTGGTGCTCAACTTTCTGGCCCTTTAAATACAGTTCCTCATGTTGTGACCCAACCATAAAATTATTTTCGTTGCTACTGTTATGAATCGTCATGTAAATATCTGATAGGCAGGATGGTCTTAGGCGACCCCTGTGAAAGGGTCGTTCGACCGCCAAAGGGGTCGCGACCCACAGGTTGAGAACCGCTGCTAGCCGGTTTGTCTCAGTAGATAGAGTATCGGGCTGGGGACTCAATGTTCTTCCTCAGGAAACGCTGTCTGCGCCCTCTACTGGCAAAACGTAAGCGGTGCCGGAGGGCCGTTCTCACAGAGACGCAAACGTGACTCAGAGCTGAGAGACAGTAAATGAGCGAACAGGCCCCAGGAGGGAAGCAGCGCGGCCAGGGCTAGGGTTTGCTGAGCTCGCAAAGCGTTTGGAAAGCTAGTGCGCCCCGCTCTGGTGGCCCAGCGGTTGAGCATCGAGCTGTGAACCAGGAGGTCACCGGCTCAATTCCTGGTCAGGGCACATGCCTGGGTTGCAGGCTCGATCCCCGTGTGCAGGAGGCAACTGGTCAATGCTTCTCTCTCATCATTGATGTTTTTATCCCTCCTCTCTCTTCCTCTCTGAAATCAATAAAAATATATATTTTTTTAAAAGAAGACAGGTTGCAAAATAGCCCGTGTCCCATCCCCATGGTGATAACCCACTAGCCATAAACGCCCACGGGCATCCTCTCCGCCTGGAGGAAGACGCGCCAAACCCAGCGGTTCCCTCCGGAACCTGGGGTCGCGGGGAGCTCTCCGTGCTATCCCATTAGGTTGAACAGTGTGAAATTGCTGTTTGGAGTTAAAAATAGTGAAATAACTGGCAATTTCATACAGTTCAGCATCATATTCATATCCGATGTAATGAGAGTAAATTACTTTTATAAACAATAAATGATATATATGTACATGTATACTAACACACATACATGTATGTATACATATTTATTTATACACACAATCAATGTGTGTAGCATGTATATAGGTATGTTTTGGAAAGTCCTCCCTCCAGCTGTCTTTTGCCTGTGATGGGACCTTTTCCTCCAAAACAATAGAAACTTTGAGCTGACGGGGTTCAAGACTTCAGGGGAAATATGTGCTCAACACACTGCACGACTTGCTAATGGTCCACGCTCTGTTTCTGGACAACCCACCACCTGAAAAAACTGTCATGTGTGTCCTTTTACTTATTTTAAGAGATTTAAGTCACGAAACAGAGAAACTGCTATTAAACAATGGTGGAGCTCAGGTGGCAGTTAACCAGATTCCATTTTAGAAAGTATTTGAATCGTGCTTCATCCAAAATCTAAATATTCAGAGTTAAAGAAAACATTTCAATGTCTGCAAAAACATATGAGAATGACTTTAAGGTAAAGTTACTTTGCCTTCATACAATTGCCTTTCAAAAAAACAAAAGGGTGACTCTGGCCTGTTGTGGTCGGCAGGATAATGAACCCCCAGTGTCCATATTCGAATTCTCAACACCTGTGAATGTCACGTGACAAGGGGTGATTAAGGTGAGAGTATCCAAGGTTATCCAGGTGGGCCCACTGGACCGCAATCATCAGCCCTTGAAAGTGAAAGATCCAACCTAGCAGAGCATACAGGGGAGGGCAGGAGCAGGTTAATGGTAATAACACAATAATTAACAAGTAACAATACGAGAATAAACTGTTGTGCGTACTCACAACTTCCTCTCTCTAAAATCAACACATTTTTAAAAATAAAATTCACATGGAATCACAAGAAATTCAGCATAGCCAAAACAATCTTGAAAAAGAACAGAGAGAGAACCAAGATGGCGGCATAGGTTAACGCTGGAGTTTGCTGCTTTGAACAACTACTTCAAAAGTGAAACCAAAAAACGGAAGGGACATCACCCAGAACCACAGGAACGCTGCCTGAGTGGAAGTCCTACAACTAGGAGGAAAGAGAAACGCATACGGACACTCAGAGGAGGCGCAGTGCTGAAGTCAAATTCTGAGGTGCGGAGTGCGCGGAGCGGGCTGGCGGCGGAGGGCGCGGTTGGCGTTTTCAATCGGGAGGGAGTCGCAGACTCTGAGCTCCAGATCCGGGCGAGTCTTTAGGGACCCAGACTCAAACGGGAGAAGCGGGACTGTCTGGCTTCGGTCAGAGCGAGTGCAGCTTTCTCTCTGAGCTTTGCAGCGGGTGCTGGGACTCAGAGAGGCAGAGACCCTGGGGACAGGACTGAGAGCCGCCATAACTGCTCTCTCCGGCCCACCCTGTTGATCCTGTGCGACCCGCCCCGCCCAAGCCCTGCACACAGGCATTTGCCGGATAGCCTCAGGCAAAGGCTAGATTAGCACCTCCCTAGAGGACAGAAGTTCTCTCACTGCTGACACAGCTGATTCTCATAGCCACTTGGCCTGGAGGTCAAACCCTCCCTGGAATTAGCTACAACAATCAAGATTTAACTATAAGACTGTGAACAAAGACCACTAGGGGGTGCACCAAGGAAGCATAACAAAATGCGGAGACAAAGAAACAGGACAAAATTGTCAATGGAAGATATAGAGTTCAGAACCACACTTTTAAGGTCTCTCAAGAACTGTTTAGAAGCCGTCGATAAACTTAATGAGATCTACAAGAAAACTAATAAGACCCTCGATCTTATATTGGGGAACCAACTAGAAATTAAGCATACACGGACTGAAATAACGAATATTATACAGACTCCCGACAGCAGACCAGAGGAGCGCAAGAATCAAGTCAATGATTTGAAATGCGAGGAAGCAAAAAACACCCAACCGGAAAAGCAAAATGAAAAAAGAATCCAAAAATGCGAGGATAGTGTAAGGAGCCTCTGGGACAGCTTCAAGCGTACCAACATCAGAATTATAGGGGTGCCAGAAGATGAGAGAGAGCAAGATATTGAAAACCTATTTGAAGAAATAATGACAGAAAACTTCCCCCACCTGGTGAAAGAAATGGACTTACAGGTCCAAGAAGCGCGGAGAACCCCAAACAAAAGGAATCCAAAGAGGACCACACCAAGACACATCATAATTAAAATGCCAAGAGCAAAAGATAAAGAGAGAATCTTAAAAACAGCAAGAGAAAGAAACTCAGTTACCTACAAGGGAATACCCATACGACTGTCAGCTGATTTCTCAACAGAAACTTTGCAGGCCAGAAGGGAATGGCAAGAAATATTCAAAGTGATGAATACCAAGAACCTACAACCAAGATTACTTTATCCAGCAAAGCTATCATTCAGAATTGAAGGTCAGATAAAGAGCTTCACAGATAAGGAAAAGCTAAAGGAGTTCATCACCACCAAACCAGGATTATATGAAATGCTGAAAGGTATCCTTTAAGAAGGGGAAGAGGAAGAAAAAGGTAAAGATACAAATTATGAACAACAAATATGCATCTATCAACAAGTGAATCTAAGAATCAAGTGAATAAATAATCTGATGAACAGAATGAACTGTTGATTATAATAGAATCAGGGACATAGAAAGGGAATGGACTGACTATTCCTGGGGGGGAAAGGGGTGTGGGAGATGCGGGAAGAGACTGGACAAAAATCGTGCACCTATGGATGAGGACAGTGGGTGGGGAGTGAGGGCGGAGGGTGGGGCGGGAACTGGGAGGAGGGGAGTTATGGGGGGAAAAAAAAGAGGAACAAATGTAATAATCTGAACAATAAAGATTTAATTAAAAAAAAAAAAATAAAAAAAAAAAAAAAAAAAAAAAAAAAAAAGAAAAAGAACAGAGTTGAAGGACTTACTCCAAAGCAGTAGTAATCAAGACAGTGTGGTGCCGGCATAAGGATAAACATATAGAGAAACAGACTAGAATTAGGGGTGCTGTACTATCTTGATTGTGGTGGAGGTTACACGGTACATACACGCATAAGAGCTCATCAACCTGTACACTTACAAGACATAAATTGTATTGTATGTAAACAATAGGGAGGATTTTTTTAAAAAGAACATGCCTCCTGATTCAAAGAGTAAAGCCAAAACACAGCAGCCTTTGCAAAGCACAGGCTGCTCAGCACTGCACCCAGCCCCGAGGAGTTTCACACGTGCCCACAGCAGACTGTGGTGTAGGACAACGTGCCAATTTCTCTACTTTTGGCTTACCTGGCAACACCTGTTTGCAGATAAAAATCTTCCCCAACAGGTGATGCCTGTGGGGAGACTTGGAAGGAGCCCTTTATTTGAAGGTCGAAAGAGGGAGCCAGGAGGTGGGCACGGCAGACCCTGGAAGGCCCCTTGGTCGGGTCATGGAGAAAACAGGCTATCGAGGAGGGTGGCACGATGAGAGCATCCATCAGGGGACAGTCTGAGGAGGGGGAGGAGGAGAGCGTTACCGAGGGGACATTGGGAGGGTTGTGGGTGTCACTGAGGGAGCCATGGCTGGGCCCGCGTAGAGGTGGGGGGCAGGGCAGAAGCTGTGTGGGAGGAGGGAGGTCACAAGAGGACAGGAGCAGAGGAGGGGGAGCGTTGTGGAGCAGGAAGGAGGCTGCCAGTCTGTGTGGGGCAGAGTCAGAGTGTATCATGTGGGGGTGAAACAAGCAGCTGGTGAGCTCAGAGGCCTCCTGGAACCCACCGTTTCCCAGCCCCCAGGACCCTTGTCCTGACTCCTGGGCACCCGCCTTCATGAGCGGAAGTCAGGGCTGATGACGAGCTCCCCAAGGCCCAGGCCCACGTCCGCTCTGCCACTGGGTGGGCCCACACGCACCCACCCGCCCACGGGGGAACGTGTGTTGAGAGTGTGATGGGCATGTGCCAGTGGGACTGCCTGGGTTCAAATCTCAGCTTTTTAAAAAATATATATATATATTTTATTGATTTTTTTTTACAGAGAGGAAGGGAGAGGGATAGAGAGTTAGAAACATCGGTGAGAGAGAAACAATGATCAGCTGCCTCTTGCACACCCCCTAGTGGGGATGTGCCCACAACCCAGGTACATGCCCCTGACCAGAATCAAACCCAGGACCCTTCAGTCCGCAGGCCGACGCTCGATCCACTGAGCCAAACCAGTTAATTGAATGTGGGAAATAATGTACACAGAGCCTGTGATGGGCGGTACTATAAACAGTACAAGGAATGGACAGAGGGGGTGTGTGGCTACAGAGAAGAGGTCCATTGAGAGAATAAACCAAACAGATCACCAAGGTTTGGACTATGTGGGCTTTCCAGCCATGGTCCAGTGAGTCACTCTCTCCCAAGGGAAACAGGTGAATAGAGAGCGATTTACACCGGACAATGGCAACAGCTGAACATTTTAATTCTCTAGGGTGCTATATCTCAGAGGAGCACAGGACAGGAATTCTTGTTCCAACCAGAGTCTGGGTCTCACTTCGAGGGAAAGTGCCCAATAGCTATGAGAAGAAAGAAGGTACACAGGTGACAAGCTAACCTAGCTATGTGACTCTGAGCAAGTCATGTCCCCCTTCTGAACCCCACCTCCTCCTCTAGCCACCAAGAATTTGGGCCCAACACTTCGTGAGAATTTGTTGAATCTTTGGAGATAAATAGACTCACTTTCCCGCCATGAGCTGTGTGTAGAGGGGAGCTATTATTTTCCCCTGTAAAAGGTCTCTTGAAATACAAGAACCTCATTTAAGAGTGAGATCTTGCTGTAGGTGGATATGTTCCAGTATTAGATGAGAAGGGGAATAAAACCGAGGACCAGGGAGAATAAAACCCTCTTGGTCTAATGACAGGACTAAATTGGGTTCTGTTTCAAGTTGCCAGTGAGTTTCTGAGTTCTTTAGAAGGCAGATAAAACAACCTCAAAAAGAATGATGTATATAACGGATGAATTTCCAGAGCATTCACAGATGCCATTTATGTTGCAAAGTCTTCCTTTCTGAATTGTTTTCAATTTTCAATTGAGGGGTTATTTTAAAGCAAATAGATGAACCTGGTGAAAGGGAGAAAGAGAGTGAGGAGGGAGTGTAGGAAAGAGAGGCTTTGTAATGACTTCCATGTGAGGACAGCCTGGGACCCCTTTCTCCAACTTCACCTCCTTCCATCCTTTCTTTCACTTTATGGTTGGAACACATCATAATTCCCCAACTTGTACACTATGTCAAGACTCTGGGGTGTTACCTAGACTGCTCTGTGTCCAAGTAGAGTTCTTTATCCCTCCTTTTGGTATGGATTCACAACCCTCTGCCTTTCCACTTTCCTTGTACCAGGGAAAAAGAAGAGTGAACAGCTGTGACTGGTTTGGCGCAGTGGATTGAGCATCGGCCTGCGGACTGAAGGGTCTGAGGTTCGGTTCCAGAGAGAGAGAGGAAGGTGAATGTTTCATTTTATACATATAAAGCCACCAACACAAAATAATTCAATAATTATTCCCCTCACTTTTTTGTGATCCTCAATGAATATTTTTCTCTTTTTTAAAAAATATTTTTTTTATTGATTTTTTACAGAGAAGAAGGGAGAGGGATAGAGAGTTAGAAACATCGATGAGAGAGAAACATTGATCGGCTGCCTCCTGCACACCCCCTACTGGGGATATGCCTGCAACCAAGGTACATGCCCCTGACCGAATCGAACCTGGGACCCTTCAGTCTGCAGGCCGACGCTCTATCCACTGAGCCAAACCGGCCAGGGCTCAATGGATATTTTTCCATTGACTTTTAGAGAGAGTGGAAGGGAGGGGAAGAGACAGAGAGAGAAACAGGGATCAAGCCTGCAACTGTGGTACCGTGCCCTTGACCAGAATTGAACCTGTGACCTTTCGGTCCGGGCCGACACTGTCCACTGATCCAAACCAGCCAGGCCCTTCGCCTGTCTTCCCTGAAGGACTGTTGATGGCCTGCCTGTTATTGTGATGAGTGACGCATGAGGGCAGGTGGGACAGTCTAGGGCAGTGGTTCTCAACCTTCCTAATGCCGCGACCCTTTCATACAGTTCCTCATGTGGTGGGGACCCCCAACCACAAAATTATTTTCGTTGCTACTTCATAACTGTAATTTTGCTACTGTTATGAATCGTAATGTAAATATCTGATATGCTGGATATCTTTTCATTGTTACAAATTGAACATAACTAAAGCATAGTGATTAATCACAAAAACAATATGTAATTATATATGTGTTTTCTTTTTTTTTTTAATACTTTTGATTTTTTACAGAGAGGAAGGGAGAGGGATAGAGAGTTAGAAACATCGATGAGAGAGAAACATCAATCAGCTGCCTCTTGCACACCTCCCACTGGGGATGTGCCCGCAACCCAGGTACATGCCCTTGACCGGAATCGAACCTGGGACCCTTCAGTCCGCAGGCCGATGCTCCATCCACTGAGCCAAACCGGCCAGGGCAATATATGTGTTTTCTGATGGTCTTAGGCGACCCCTGTGAAAGGGTTGTTTGACCCCAAAAGGGTCGCGACCCACAGGTTGAGAACTGCTGCCCTAGTGGGTGGAAGGATGGAGGGACAGCATTGACTCCCCTAACCCTGGCTCCACTGGGGGCAATGGGTCCAGCTCCAAACACCTGTCTGCCTGTCTTTAGCCTGGTTCCCGGGACACCGGGTCCTCAGGGGACCCATTTCTGCTCCGAAGGGGCCAGCCTGGGAACCCGCGGACTTCCACCCCCCCTTCTCTGCCCCCCACACATCATTTCTCTGGGGAAGGCGGCCCAGGTCAGGGCAGCAGTGGGAACCCCTCACCCTCCCTGCCCTGTGTCCTTTCATCTTCCTTCCCAGGCTTGTTGGCCCCACCTCTGCCATTGCCCCGGGTCCCAGGCAGGCCCTGGCCAGGAACCGGGGCTCAGAGGAGAGGCCACAAAACGAAGGGGTGGGGTAGGGGTGGAGAAAGGAGGATGGAGAGCAGAGGGCTGGGGTGGGCAGGGTCACGGGGGTGTGAAGTGCGGGGTTTCCAGGCTGCTGTCCTGGCCACACTCCGCTGGGCCTTCGCTGGCAGTGCCCCGGTCAGAGGCTTTGGAGCTGAGCCTCGGTAGGGCAGGTGGTCTGGCCAAAGCATGGCGCGCCTGGTCGCCTTGTAAAGGCCGGGCTTTCAACGCCCGTCCCTGGGCCTGGCCCGGCCCCTGCTGTTCCGCCTGGGTGTGCCGCGGGCTCCGCAAACGGAGCTCTTCATCCCCATGACCTGCTCAGGCTCGCCCAGCAGAAAACGGCAACTCCGCCCTCCCAGGCCGAAGCCAGGGCCATCCCATCCCACGCAGGGGCTCCCAGCACCTGCCCCCCCATCGCCTCCCCACTGCCAGGCCGCCCGCCTCCTGGCGGCCCCCTCACTCGTCTCCCCACTTCCCCCTCTGCCCCCCCGCAGTCTCCTGTCCTCACAGCCCCCCAGGGATCCGTAGGGAACGGAAGTTGGGTCACCTGACTCTGCCGCTCACCTTGCAAAGCCCCGGGCTCACTCAGTGAGGGTGGACCCTGCCCTGGGCCTGCAGAGCCGCCTGCTTCCGGTCTCCTTCCTGCCCACCCTGCCGCCTGGCGGAACTGCCTCCAAAGCAAAGCACTTCCGGTTCACGCGATGCGCCCCGACCCTGCCTGCTCCAGGTGCTCCCCGCTGTCGTGCTGAGTTCATATGAGTGTCTTTTCTGCAACCACGATGTTGGAATGTCATATTGTAACAGTAAATCTATTTGGCGCGATTCCCAGTAAACGGAAGAATCATTATACATCCTGGGGTTTCGGCACCAAAAACAAAAGAAATCATTATAACTTGTTGGACCATTTTTGCAACTTTTCTGTAAGTCTAAAAACATTATAAACTAAAGTTTATTAAAGTGAAAAAGCGAGCCTGGCTGAGTAGTCAGTTGGTTAGAGAGTCGCCCGATACGCTGGCGTTGCGGGTTTGATCCCAGGTCAGGGCGCATACAGGAGTCAACCAACGAGCATAAATATGTGGAGCAAGTCAGTGTATCCCCCCCCCCTTGTTCACATCAATTAATCAATCAATGAAATGCTAATAATAAATAAATAGCCCTGGCTGGTGTGGCTCATGTGGTTGGGCATCGTCCGTGCACCGAAAGGTTGCCCATTCAATTCCCAGGCAGGGCACGTGCCCGGGTTGCGGCTTGATCCCCGGTAGGGGGCGTGCACAAGGCGGTTGATAAATGATTCTCTCTCTCTCATCGATGCTTCTCTCTCTCCCCCTTTAAAAAAATATTTTAAAAAATAATAAATAAGAAAGAAAGGGACGGGATAAGGGGAGCAATTGTGGTGAAAAAGGAGTCTGTCCAAAGGCGGCCTAACTTCGTAGAGCCAGTCCTCCTGTGGCCAGTGTGCAGCAGCACAGGGGGCTGTGACCAGGGCTGTCCCGTGCCCGCGGGGGTAGCGGGGTGTGGTTCTCCTATTTTGGCTGCGTGAACAGAGCATGGCCTCCGGTTGCGGTCAGACGAGCCAGGCCTGGACAGGAAGCCAGAGCACAGGCCTGGGAAAGCGTGTGCGAGGCAGAGCGGCGGCAGCGCCGGCAGAGGGCAGTCAGGCATCGGGTTTCCCTGGGAAGCATCTGAGCTGGACCTGGAAGGAGCGGGATTTTCGCTGGAGATGGGGGAGGGGGGAAGAATATTCCAGAAAGGGGGAATGAGCCAGTGGAGGGCTGTGGGTGGGGCGTTGGTAGTTCCTTCGCAGGGCTGGGAATCTTTCTGCCCAGGGCCATTTGGGTTTTATAACATCATCCCTGGGCCATACAAGTTTATTAACTTAAAAATTAGCCTGTGGCTGATGTGGCTCAGTGGTTGAGCGCTGGCCTATGAACCAGATCACCGGCCAGACATCTCCATTCAGACATCCCACAGGCCCCTCAAAACTCAACATCCCCACACTCCCCTCATTGTTTTCATCTGCCCGCCGACCCCCAACCTCCCAACCCTCTCCTTCCTGCCCGCTCTGTCTTGGAGATGGTATATCCATCTCTGTGGCCCTGAAACCGGAATCCGGGGGGCCTTTTTCAAAGCCCTTCTCTCCCTCAGTCCTGGCCTAGGGATTTCACTCCCTCCACACCCTGGTCCCCAGACCTTCAGTCCTGCCTGCTTTCCAAAAATTAATTAAAAAAAAAAAAAATTGCCCTAGCTGGTTTGGCTCAATGGATAGAGCATCAGCCTGCGGACTGAAGGGTCCCGGGTTCGATTCTGATCAAGGGCACATGCCCGGATTGCGGGCTTGATCCCCAGTGGGGTGTGTGCAGGAGGCAGCCAATCAATTATTATTTCTTATTATGTTTTTAAAAATATATTTATTGATTTCAGAGAGGAAGGAAGAGGGAGAGAGAGTTAGAAACATCAATGATGAGAGAGAATCATTGAGTGGCTGCCTCCTGCACGCCCCCACTGGGGATCGAGCCTCTAACCCAGGCATGTGCCCTGACCAGAATCATACCTGGGGACCCTTCAGTTCGCAGGCTGATGCTCTATCCACCGAGCCAAACCGGCCAGGGCTATTCTTTCTCATTGTTTCTGTCCCTCTCTCTTTCTCCCTTCCTCTCTCTGAAATCAATAAAAACATTTTTAAAATATATATATATTATTGATTTTTTACAGAGAGGAAGGGAGAGGGATAGAGAGCCAGAAACATCGATGAGAAACATCGATCAGCTGCCTCCTGCATGCCCCCTACTGGGGATGTGCTCGCAACCTGGGACCCTTCAGTTCGCAGGCCAACGCTCTATCCACTGAGCCAAACCGGTTCTGGCAAATAAAAACATTTTTTTTTAAAATATATTTTATTGATTTTTTACAGAGAGGAAGGGAGAGAGATAGAGAGCTAGAAACATCGATAAGAGAGAATCATCGATCAGCCGCAACCCAGGTACATGCCCTTGACCGGAATCGAACCTGGGACCTCTCAGTCCGCAGGCCGACGCTCTATCCACTGAGCCAAACCGGTTTCGGCAAAACATTTTTTAAAAATATTTTTTTATTGATTTCAGAGAGGAAGCGAGAGGGAGAGAGAGAAACATCAATATGAGAGAGAATCATCGTTCCTCCTGCACGTTCCCTACTTGGGACTGAGCCTGCAACCTGGGCATGTGCCCTAACTAGGAATGGAACCATGGCCTCCTGGTTCATAGGTCAATGCTCAACCACTGAGCTACGCCTGCCAGGAAATAAAAACTTTTTTTTTTTTTAAATGTTTGTTGAATGTATTACAAAGTAGTCCAAGGACGGTGTATGCAGTATTCCATTTGCACACTAGATGGCGGCAAAGGCCAACTTATGTCCAGTTCCGTCAATCTGAGTCTGTGGCTCCTCTTCCTTACCTGAGCAGGGAAGGCCGGCCATTACCCCAAATTTAACCTGAGAAAAAACTCAGACCTGGAGAAGGCAGGCGACACTCCAAGTGTGCCAACTTGTCAGAGCCAGGAGCCAAGATCTCACCCATGTCTCCTAGATATTCTGGGCTTCCAAATCTACCTTTCCCAGGGAGACACTCTCACAACTCACTTTCCACCCATACCCTGTCGGAGGCCCACCCCCATGTCCTCTCCCTCTCCTAGTCTCAGTCCTTTACTGAAGTCACAAAGCTAGCCAGTTTGCTCAGTGGATAGAGCATCTTCCTGCAGACTGAAGGGTCCCAGGTTCGATTCCAGTCAAGAGCACATGCCCAGGTTGCTGGCTTGATCCCCCGTGTGGGGTGTGCAGGAAGCAACCGATCAATGATTCTCTCTCATCATTGATGTTTCTCTTTCGCCTTCTCCCTTCCTTTCTGAAATCAATAAAAAAATGTATATGTATATTTTTAAAAACCTGCTGTCCAAGTCCATACCAACTAGTCCTGGGCCTGGGTGCTTGAGGGGAACCTTGGGAAGGCTGGGATATGGGGGAGCTACCACTTGGATTCAGGTTTGTTTACCCCTGTACTTCTGGGATTGCCGGGATGATGAAATCCCAGGAAACATGTATAGAAGACATACATGCTGGGGGTGTATGTTGTCAAGACCTATACTCTTGACTTGGACATAACTTTCAGGAAAATTTTACATTGGCCTCCTCCATTCTTTGGTGCTCAGAGGGTGGAAGGTGGCTTCCGGCCTACATTTCTGTCTCTGTGCCTTTACATTTCCGGTCCCAGCCGACTGTGAGCCTGTGCAACACAAGAAACAAAGTAGCCCCTGGCAAGGCTCCACTCCTCTCTCACTTCTCTGCTAATAAGTCTAGTGCAGCCGTGGGCAAACTACGGCCGGGATCCGGCCCACCATACCTTTTTATGTAATGATGTTTACTTTGAATTTATATTAGTTCACACAAACACTCCATCCATGCTTTTGTTCCGGCCCTCCGGTCCAGTTTAAGAACCCATTGTGGCCCTGGAGTCAAAAAGTTTGCCCACCCCTGGTAGTGCCTCAGGGAGCCTTCCAGCTCTAGACAAACATGGGAGACCTTTCTCCATAAAAGGCTCCTAAGACGCTGTGACTCAGCATCAAGGAGACCATGGGGTCTAGTGCCGCTTCTCCCTTCCTCTGCCCCCACTGGTCACTTCAAGAGCAAGCCCCCCGCCCCGGGGCCGCCCGGCCTGAGTCTATTGGTCCCAGTCTGCATGGCTGCTTCCTCTGTGAGGACATTCCTGCACTGAAGAAACGGCAAGCATTGAAGTGTTTGAAACTGACGAGGGTTCAAATCCCAGCCTTGCTGCCTGGCAAAGTGACCCCTTTGCAGCAGTGAACCCAGCCATTTACTGAGGCCCCGCCACTGGGCTGGGTACAGGATCCCTCTGCAGGTGCAGCCTCTTTGGTCCTGGGTCCCCATTCTCGTAGGCCTGGCTGGCTTTACGGGATTGAGCCTCTCCCAGTTAAACAGGCTGATTAGAAGCAGACACCTCAGATATGTAGTGGCCAGGGTGGAACCACGTGGGTCATTTTAATTATTTCATTTGCAACTGAGGAAATACTACCTGAAGCTCACGCGGTTGCACAGAACAGGGGAGACGTGACCAGTTGTTAGGGCAGCTGACAAATGACAATGTGACCAGCCCGGGACTTCAGAGGTAACACCAGATGGCTCTTCGCTGGCTGCAGTGGCGCCTCTTCAGGGCTTGCATGGGAGCAATGGGAACCCTCCTCCTCCTGTCCTCCAGCTGTCTCTCCACCCCACCAGCTCACAGCCAATGCACAGAAACAGGCTGCTTAAAGAAGCTCCTATTGGTTTCTGGGGATGTTATTGGGTCCATGTCCCTCCCCTACTTGAAGATTGTGCTGTATCACAGTGATGTGTACTTGTTATTAGACCATAAGTTCAACAGGAACAAGGTGGGACCCCACAGAACGCCCATTTCTCCCCTCTACTCAGGGACAGAAACTCGGTTTTTACTCAAAAGAATCACACCAAGAAGACCTTTTAATTTTTTATTAATATAAAATCTTTAAAGTTTTTAGCCATAATCAGCGTGGTTCAGTTGGTTGTGCATCGGTCGTCCCATGCACCAAAAGGTTGCTGGTTCGATTCCCAGTCAGGGCACATGCCTGGGTTGTGGGCTCCAGCTCTCTCTCTCACTAAAAAATT